CTTTACTCTTCCGCGCAAAGGAAACCTTCTGCTAAACTGTGATATTGTAGGTGATTTACCCATTATCTAAAAGAACTGACGTAACACTATTTCTCACTCATGATTACTATAAAGGTAAAAAATATAAAGTAGTACTTAACATTATAAACTGCGCTTTCCGATATAAGGCTTCTGTCCGCTCACATTGAAGAATAGCTCAGAAGTTGCTAAAGCATTTAGGAAAGTATATGATACTTGAAATAATCTATTGATCTGGTCAAAGCTTCTGCAATGTGACGGAGGTCGTGAATTTATGGGCGAGACTTCCTGTCTAATACAAGAGCATGGTGTTATAATTAGGGTGATTGGCCCATATAGTCATAGAAGACTTGCTTTAGTGAAGCGTTTCAATCAAACGCTCTCAAAAATTCTATATAAGATCCAGTATGCTGTTAAATTGATATCTTCTGATTCTAAATTAATAAGAGCATGGGTTAGGTATTTGTCAGAAGCTATTGATTATCTGAATAACTATCTCACATGCCTTATTCAAGAATTGGGATCAGAAAAGTGGGAACTCGAACCAGTGAAAGCCATTACTTTGAAGCGAGTCGAATCTAGACCATCTACAAAATATAAGCGTCCGGTTGGAAAAGATGAAATAAGATTAAAGAAAGGAGATACTGTTCGCTACCTACTTACCAATGCAGAATGGGAAGGGGGTATGGAAAATCAGAAGTGTGCAACTGACCTTACATTTAGCCTAAGTCTTCATAGAATCTGAAAAGTTATTATTATTAAAGAATAAGCCAGTTTTATATTATCTTAGAAGTGATGAGCCAAGAGGCACTTCGCATGATGAATTTGCTTCAAAGTGAGAATTTGTAAGAGAGGAACTCATGTTAATAGCTAATCTAGAAAGAGTTGGTCGTCTACCTCAAAGCATATTATCTGTACATATTGCATATGCTTTCCCTATTAATAACAAACTAGAGGCTCTAGAGGAGCAGGACCAAGCCATTAATTATGCCAGAAGACGTGGTGGTCAATGTCTAGAAAGGACTGGGCGAATAAATGATCATAACATATATCTTTGGTCTTGTGAGAATAGTGCGCATCAGTAGGAATATCCACTAAAATATATCATAAAAATATTCGATTAGTGTCCTCTATTCCATCATACTCAAGAGCGTAAATGCTGATATATTTTTGAGGATTTGTTAAGCAAGACATTTCCACTATGTAGGGCTAAGTTCTTAGATAGACTACACTTGGATGGATATAATGAGTAATTGCGTCTTGCATTCAAATTCTAGGATCCTCAATATTATCACCACAATAGCTTTTACCACTGGGAGAATGAAAATCTAAAATCACAAAATATACGTGATTAGAAGAAGCGGATATATGCAAAGACCAAGGTATATACCTTATTGAAGTTTCCTATACAGCTGATCTCCTGTCCTATATCAGATATACTCTAATCAAGAAAGGGTTCTTGGATAAAGCGAAGAAACAAAAAGGGAGGACCAATAAATCAGTCTGATATTTTTAGTATATCATTATTAATAGTTAACTTACCATGAAAATAAAAAAACTCGAGCCAGTTGATAGGCTTGTATACCATATTAATAAGATTAAGAATGCCAAAAAATATAACAGATATTTGAGTATTCCCTAATGGCCTTTCACTTTACTGATCTGTGGTCGTACTAATTCAGGAAAAACTAATGAAGTTCTCAATCTCATGCTCAGAAATAAGCTTTATCGAATGTTTAATGAGAAGAAAGGAGAAACGCGCTATATCAAGTGTGATAACCTTATTTTGATCGGCCACAATCTTATAGAGAAAAAATATATATACCTCAAATCAACGTTCTAGATAATTGCAAATAGTCCAAAGCCATATAGTGAAAATGTTACATTCTGAGCTTTAAAGCCTGATAAAACTCTTAAGGTGAATTTATTTTCTCCGGATAGAGATACAGTGACTATTTTCGAAGATGTATATACTGATCTGAAAAAGGTGCAGGAGAAAATCATCCCTTATTTTGTTGAGGGACAACAATGCAGTGTTAAAAAGTTTTTATTTTGCAATACATTCTATAAATACAAAGTTCGGATACATGAGACATAATCATATTTTTTGTGATACTTGGTTGGAGGTGCTTACGCATGATACATGTAATAAGTTTTTTATTACTACGTTCTCCAAACTGCTTCTCTTCCAATTTCATGACTCTTTCAATAAGCTCAGCATTCCCAAATTTTTTCTCATAAATATTTGAAAAAAAGATAAGCAGTCTCTTATCTGTAAAATTCAAATAAGAAAGATATTTTCTTCTCTAAGTCAAACTCAGATTCCATTTTCAATAACGAGAAAAAAGAGAAAAAATAATGCCAATCTTACGTTGCATAACTCCTATTCTTCGGCAAGAATATCATACTATGCATTTTAGGTGATCGGTCTCACATGACAGAGTTTCTATGCTATGATCGCAAATTTGAATTTATTGCTTGAAGTGAAGCAAGTAAGATAATATTCCGTTTCATTTTTATACCATTCGCCATGTAATCCATAATTCCCAAGTTTTCCATCGCAAATAGGGCATGGTGAGCTCCACGGCTGAGGTGATGCAAAATTATAATTATCAATCCCTCTAAAACTATTCTGGAATTTCAAGTATGGGAAGTGCTCTAAGATGGATTTGATAATTAATTCTGGATCAGGTCTGGCTTAGAAAGTGATAGGCTTGAAATCAGAGGTCTGAGGTTTTGTTGACATATTTATCACAGCTTCTGATAATTGCCATGGCTCATTTCCAATTTCTTTTTTATATCTTTTGTATAAATTGGAACGAATCTTATTTGTCAGAATGCTTGGTAACCCAGTTAATTTGGCATGCCAATTCAGATATTTAGGAGTTAATATTTTATCGGTCTTGGTCATATTGCCTTTTTATATGAATGTAAGTTAATTTAATTCAGTAATAGTTGATATGAATTAGCCCTGTAATAAAAAAATGAAGTGTGAACAAACATAGTATTGTAAAATAATGAGCCTATGCAGTTATCTCAATTTCACATTGTTCATATTTAATAAAGTAAGATCCAACTTTATAACTACCTTCTATTTCTTCATCATCATGACCTAATTTGCATAATGGGCAGATGTGGTTCCTTTTGGACCCCTACATGATGTCTCATCAGTAATCCCATAATAATTGAAATTTTCACTACTACATTCTCTATATAGATTAGAATATTGATCCAATATCTTGTTGTAGAAATAGGTTCAGTCATAAGTTGGATTAGTTTTAGGAATTGGTGGACAAGATGTAGTAGAGGCATTTACCTCAAGTTTCGAAGATTCATAAGTTTGATCACCATTGGCAGTTTTTGAAGACATGTAACTCTGATCGTTTCCTAAGAAAACAGTTTTTGAGGTTACTTGATCTATAACATTTTGAATTTGTGCATTAGTTAATTTTGAAATCTCATTTGCACTGTAAGTGACATACTTAATTTTATCCATTCCTATACTATTCTTTCCAAATAATTTGCGAATTTTTTTAGCTCTAAGAGTTTTAATCCGTAAGGCAACTAGCGTAACACTAGTTAGATGTTCTAACATTTCCTTATATATTTGTGTTCTTGCAATTTTATTGGTAACTCCTGTATTACAACAAATTTCAGCAACTTTATTTTTGAATAACAAATCTAGGACAAGATCTTCTCATATCCAACCCTTACTGTATTCCGAAACAAATGGATTAAATTTTATGTTGTGACTTGATTGCAAGATACTTTAGAGGATTTTATAGTCGAATGTTGTTCATTAGGCGGAGCAATGATACTACACTTCAGTAAATCGCATATTAGATCAAGTTCTATATTCTAATTTTTAGTAAGTTCAATCTCATCAAAATCGTCAGCAGACTTAAATCGCTCCAGTTTTGGTTGATTGTTTTCTGAGAAAACAGTTTTTCTGAAAAGTTCCAATTTTTCTGAAGTATTCCGATTGTTTCTCGAGAAATGGTTTTTGTGCTACTTTCAATTTTATCATTTCTTAGAGAAGTTTCTGTAACAAGCGATAAGTTAGAAGGGAAAATTGACTCATGTTGAATTTTCTTCTTCCTATTCCTCTGTCTTATCTTATTGCTAACCATTTTCTTATCAACATCATTCAAGAAAACATCCGTCTCTCTATCATCCTCCAATGATTTAGATTGGATAGTAACATATTGGTTTATAACGGAAGGTATATTAGTTTGATCTAAAGGTATTGAATCAAAATCCTGAGATATAGGGTCAGCATTATTCTTTTCAATAGAATGATCAGAATGATCTGATTGCTTTGCAATCCTCTTAATAGATGGCGAAATAGATGATTGTGAAGTTATTGAATGAATTGGAGATTTTATGTGGATGTATTGCTTTGTATTAAAATATTAACAGCATTTTGTTCCTGTTTGATTTCCCTGATATCATCATCTAATTTAGCAATAAGGGTGGTCTTTTCTTTATACTTCTGTTCTAGATTCATGAATCTGGCTTCATGTTCTTCCAAAGCATGCTTTAACTTCACATTCTCAGCCTTAACTTCGATATTCTTAGCTTTGACTTTAGCATTCTCCTTTCTAAGTTCTGTAATCTTGGCTAAGAGCTTTGAATTTACTTTTCTCAACGAATCGATCTCAGATTGCATGTTTGATAATATTTTTTTATATGAGATGGAATAATTCAAAAGTTTGTCAGCGTATACTGTACATAAACGTGGTAATATCTTCATCAGAATTACACTTAAATGTGGCTTTATTGATACAGAAATAAATTACATGGTTTGATGATATACAGATTTGTTTTACAGAGTTACAGTAGTACCAGATATTATTTGAAAAACAATTTAGCTAAAACTTGGCGAAAATTATCTTTTTTGAGGATAAATAATTCTGGTATCATTATAAATATTATTTCTATACTAATGTAAGCAGACGATACCAATTTTTTGTTTGCCTATATTATCTCACTCCATAATCTGATTGTCCTAATAACCCTGTTTTGCATTCAGAAATTATATAGCTGAATCAGTGAATCACGTGTCTATATGATAGCCCACAATTGTGATTGGTATTTGGTAATAATACATAATTGCGTGAAAATCATAACATAGTAGTTAAAAAAATTCGTAATTCGTTGTTGTATGAAAAATAAACTTATCTTCTGAAATCAAAATGTAGAAATCAATTAAGTTAGATTCATTAATTGCTTTGGCAATTCTAGGAATATTTATTTATTATCGTTTCATTCATCCTTCTATCGAGAAAGATCAACTAAAGCATTTTGGTAAGAAATTTGAAATACTATTATTTTTCTTTATATAATAGTAAATACATATAATGAATGATTTCAAACATTTCTTAACATATTTTCTTTCTCTATTAAAACTAAATAGATGAAAATGAAGACCCTAATGATTATTTGCCTTTTCTATCAAAATATGATCCTCGTGTAAATTATGATGAACTTGCATAAAAAGTATATTACGAATCGCATAAAGAGAAAGAGTTTGCCGAAGAAGCAAAAAGAATAATTGACTCATATAAAATAGTACAGGTTGTTGAAAATGTAAAAAATAGCAATTAAATCGTATATGATTTATATAGCTCAGATTTGTTTTAATTAATTACAAAAAAGAAGCAAATTATTACAACAGAAAATTAGTCAACTTTTATAATAGATAATAATTCTATCGTATGTGAGGTATACTGCGTTAATTAAAGTAATTTGTTAATTATACAAATAATTAGTACATTTTTTTAGTCCTGAAATTAATATTTCTTTTAGTCGAATAGCGATATATGCATTGTCATCTGTTGCTACATTGATGCGTTCAAGAGCTGCTTCATATATTCTCCTATTCTTTCCCACTAAATTCCACTTTTCTTTATATACAATACTATTCTGAATGTTTCTATATGAAACTATTTTTCCTACTTCTTCGAAAGTAACATTATCAAGTCTATTAGTAATTAAAGTGAGTTGATTTTTCATATTATCATCACCCTTCTTACTAAAATTATACGCGTTATAGTAAAGATGACTAAACAATTTATAGTGAAATCTAGGACCTAGACTTTGATTGTACATATCTATGACTTTTTCTTGCCATCTTTCCATAATTTTGCAGACATCATTAATAGAATCTCGCGTAATTGATCCCATGCATTCGCGTAAATTTCCTTTATTAATAATTAAGATTAGATCTAGCAAAGATAATTAATACTATTTATATCAGATAGACTTACCTTGAATAATAAATAATAAATAGACTATTTATATCTCCTATATCAGATGATATCTACGTGTATCTTTAATTTACTTATTTGTTATTATATACTGTGACTATATCCGTAGATTTAATTAAAACTTTTGTTTGAAAACAATTTCCAGTTTTTTGTAAAATTTTCGCCATTATTATATGAATACTGAATAAGACTCAAGAGGAAATTTTGAAGCATTCTGGACATCTTTATATATAATATAATTTATATGATTTACTATATTACACAGGATATTCATAGCTGTCATTTGGTTGATTAGGATTAAAATAGATAATAAATTAACTCTTAATTGTGGAATTTATTCTGTTGATCCATATTTATGATTGACTAATTGACACGTGTTGGAATAAAATTGTTAAAATTCATTAAGATGAAATAATTATATACAAAAATTCACGCTCTTTTGCCAAGAAAAATTTTTTATTATTACATGCGAAAATAAATACAAATGTTCAGGACTGTGCTCATGATACATAACTAAATTACTATGCTAGTGCCCTACATAATTATTTTTTCGAACGATATTCCTCTATTTTTGTTCTCTTCCTATCTGATTTATCCTTCACACATGCCCTATCTTCCAACAAGCCAATGATTATACCTAAAACCTTCTTGACGCCCTTACGCAACGTTTGATATTCTTCGGAGTTCTCAAACAAAGCCTCTTTAACAAATTCGATGCTAAAGGGGGCCATACTCGCCTGTAAAATTTCACCTGGAGAATAGAGGAGAAAATGCCAATCCCTGGCAGACGTCACAACCCTGTACAGATAGTTAAAATAGTCCTCATCATGCTTTCATTTTCTCTTGTTCATTTGAAATGAACTTTTGAGTTGTTTGATATTCTGAGTGAAGCCTTCTATTAGCTTTTGTTGGACCTTATCCTCTATGATGCAAATAAGCTCATCAGATTCCTATAAGTTTATATTTTGTGGTAAGTTAATAGGTCCCTCTAGGACCACATAGGATCTAGTAGTATGTAAGGTGAACGGTAAAAAAATACAAGGTGACCCGCCCACTACTTTCATCTCCAATTATTTTGTACTCAGGCCTCATACTAAATTTCTTTTTCGTGATATCTTTTGCGATATGAAAGGCGGTATGAAGTATAGTTAAAACGTACTCATTACGCATGGACTCCAAACTTGTCATTACCAACGTTCTATAACTTTTAAGTCATAACTTGATATCTGCCATATACAGTTCAAGATACTTATTTTCGTCTGAGATTTTGTGAATTCGTAGTGTGAAAAGAGGTATAATCTCTGTGCCTTCAGAAGCGAGGTCATATTTTTCTAATACTTCCTTTAAGCTATGGTATGTCAAAAAGCCCTCAACTTCTTCTCCTTACACTCCTTGGTGAAGTCAGCAAGCTTTACGGTAGGTCTCAAACCCAAACTAATACTGCGAAACTCTTCTTTGCCTAGCTTGAGGAAGGCACGGCCATCAATCTTTTCCTTACGAATAATATTTTCATCATCTAAGTCAAGCCTTAAGTCCCGTTCCTGCAAAAATGAAATAAGGGCTCCAGTGTCATATTTTTTTATTTCATCCGCTAACGTGAGTGTCATTTCTGGTAACAGTTATAAAAGAAGTGAAGACAAACATGTCTACAATATCAGTCATTTTATAGTGATATTAGGCTTGGATAAAAAATAGTGTTATGTTCCAAAGTGAGATAAAAATTTATTTCTAGGAAAGGGCTGAGTGTTAATATAAGTTTTTATATCGTACAGACATTACATCATTTCACGTAACCTATTCTCATATACGTTTGATAAAATAATACTTTATTTATAAAATAAAAAACGTTGCCAGAAGTCAGCTTACAATACATAAAAAATTGCAAATATATCGCTATTACATGATGTGAATAAAAAAATCTAATTATCTTTGCTTAATATCTTCAGCACTCTTTCAACGGGGGGGGTATATGATAATATTGATTCCCTTTTCACCACCAAAGATACATTAGGATTGTATAGGAAAATGAGTAAAAAATTGTGTCTTGCAGTTCCATTCTTATTGCACCTTCTACTTCAAATTCACTGATATTTCTTAAGCTGTTGATTATGATACTATTAGCTATAAATGCGACCCTATATAAAGCCAAATTGGTTGAATCTATATCTTGAAATTAATCTAGATAACGGGTTCTAATCACCTTCGCAAGAGAAGAGACTCTATTGTTGTTAGCATTAGATATCATTACTTCGAAAATATCGTTCACTCTCTCATCAGAAATAAGACAGTTGAGAGTAATATTCCTATTAGCGAGAAATTTGTCAAGCTTATCTGGAGTCTTGGTCTTATCAGATTCCTTGGTCTTATCAGACATCTTGCTTTCCTAAATTTAAGACCCATAGTGAGAAAAACTCGCTCCTATGCATACATAATTTAGGATGTATACATACCTTATTTTGCATTATTTTCTCTAGAAAAGTTTTTTGCAAAAGGTTGGCTGAACTTTTATATACTCCTACATGCTTTATATCTTGCTAGGAAAAAGTTAAAGAGGTATAAGACGTAATTAGTATTGTCGTATGATACCAAGAGCTCTATAAAAGCACATGCAAATAGAATCCTCATACCTTTTCACATGAAGATCTACCGAAAAGTAATATAGTTGGCTTTACGTTTAGCGATCTCGAAATTCCAAAGTCCTCAGCCTTTCATAATATATGCTTTTATCAGCATTATTTACTTATAGGGTAGGTCCTGTATTGCAACTAGATACCTTTTCACATTTTTTCACATTTGTTTGGGGAAAAAAAAGATAGAGGTATTGGTTAGCATATATATTTTCCTTTTGTTATATGTAAAATTAATATGTCGCACAAACCTGTTTTGTGATCTGCATATTTCATTGTGGCTCAGCAAAATTTTCTGAGCTGAAGATCACTGCTTTGAATTAGTTAGATCAGTAGAGTATCACCATTCTGGGGCTAATATTCTTTCACCAGCTCTAAGTTGCTGGCGCATCTGAGATAGAACTGAATTCTGATTACCTTGCATACTTAGATCTAAAAGGCTCTGAAGGCTCTAAGCTAAAGTCTGTTTACTAGCAATGTTGTTCTGTGTAAGATGATTTCTAACCATTCCAATGAGATCAAGAAGCATCACAAAATTCTCAACATGTATATTTGGATTTAGCTGATCTACAGCTTCTTTGCTAATATTATAATACCCTTCCAAATCGAGATACTTTAAATTAAGACATGATCTAGCAATTTCTTCAATAGTTATATCAGTAATTACACAATAGCTAAGATCAAGTTGTTAGAGCTTTGAGCAATAACGAATAATATTACAAATTGATATTTCAGAAAATTCTGTGTATTTAGAAATATTTAGACATTCTAATTTATGATATGAATTCACGATTACACATAAGCCTTCATCATTTTCTGATTTAAATCTTCTATGTATAACAGATATATTAAGATACTCCAAATTTGGATATGATTTCGCTATTAGCTTTAGAATTTTACCTGTACAGTCCATACTTCCTTCAAAGTCTAAATGAATTACATTTGGGAATATACGCATAATGCCTTTGATTTTTTTATTTAAAAGTCAGTAGTGTGATATTTTAAGATGAGTTAATTTTGAGCTATAGATTAGTTTTCGCCTTCCTTACGAGTGGTATATCATATTATGTACTAATTTCATAAATTTTTTCAGTTGAGATTTATCCTCTACTTCATTTCTCTTTAGCTCAATGCATCTTTATAGAATAGGAGCACCATATCTGTACCAAAGCTGACAAACAAATAGGGCAAGATACAGTGTCTTATCTACTGCTAGAAAATATAGAATCCGTTCTAATAGTTCTGGTAAAATAAAAATAGTAAAGCTCTTTCAGGAAAATTATGTGATCACTTCTCTGAACTGTTCTAGTCAATCTTTAATTTTAAACATTTCATATCTTCTTCAGTTATAACTGAAATAATACGATCTGAGCTAATAGTAGTATTATAAGACTGACTACCTGTATATTTACATATAGTTATTAAATTAGTCTCTTTTTCCCGTTTAATAAAATCTCTAGACTCCTCCATTCCTTTAAAAAATGCATGTCTCATTTCTAACTTCTGTATATCGGATTGATTAACTTGTATTATTTTGCTCATAGTTTGCATTATAGATATATTAATATATTAATTTATTCTAGTGGTGAAAAAAAAATAATCAATTGATAGTTACTGCTCTGGACTAAGCCTTTCCACTATCTCATCCAACGCAAGTACTTCTAGTCCATCTAAAAGAACTTTAAATGTATTCTCAGGTGATAATCCTTTGAGGAATAGATTTTTAAGAAGCTATTCTGGATAGTCTTTGTTTAAATTACACTCTTTCAGTTTCAAATAATATTAATTTACTGTATAATTGCCTTGAACTATTCTCCCAAATAAAAATTCCATCCTTTTGTGCCATTCAAGATTCACCTCTCTTTCCCATATATTATTTATACTACAAGAATTCTTTAGTTTCTGTTCTGGAAGATACTTTAGAATAAATGATATTATCTCTGGTGGAAGAAGATCAAGTAAATTATCTGTATGCATTATTTTATTTATATAGTTAGAATATCTTTCAATCGGAAAAAATAAACCTCTATCATCGCTCTGGACTCCTATTTATTAGATAGCTAATTAGCCTTATTTTTATTAAATGCATTTTTCTCCTGATCTTTCCTTTGGGCTTAGCGCTTCTGAATTCTTTGATGTTTAATCATATTTACTATTTCATCAATATCAGAATTGGATAAACTGGATTTGGATGAGCTAGTCTCAGAGGAACTACTCTCGAAAGAACTTGATTCAGATGAACTAGTCTCAGAGAAACTACTCTCAGATGATGAACTAGACTCGAAAGAATTTGATTTAGATGAACTAGTCTCAGAGAAACTACTCTTGGATGATGAACTAGACTCGAAAGAGCTTGATTCAGATGAACTAATCTTGGATAATGTAGACTTAGGCGAGATATTGGTTAAGGCTGTCAGATGCTTTACCCTGAGTGCCTTCAGCTGGTTACTTTCCATTTTGATTATTTATCTGATAAACTTAATATCTTTGACCGAAAAATATGTAAAGCACCTGACTTGATTACTTTAGACTACTAAGCACTTAACCTTTCTCAGTCACGTTCTCCTTCATTACTTAGTCAAAGGTGTAAAAGCATGAGAGACATCCTTTTTACCGATCAGCGAGAAAACTATTTCATGGATTAAGTTGACCACAGTTTCCTTATCTACACATTCGTTCAGATCTTCTAATTTAGTCTCTAAGGACTTTACATCTCTCTCTAATCTTTTTACCCTCTTTTCTAAAGTGTTATATTTGGAATGATAATCTTTCAATTGTTTCTTTAGTGCCCTATTTTCACTGAAAAGTACACTATATACTTCTGCATTTTGCTCGTTTAGTCCAAATGCCTGGGCTAATATCTTCGTATATCTAATAACTTTCTGTTCGCTAGCTATACTATCAGATGAATGCTTTTGATTGGTTATCATTTTCGTGATATTTTATATATGCTAGATCTTAGGCGAACAAAAAAATAAAATCAATAAATGATATCAGACTGATTTATCAGTCCTCCTGACCCATTCTCTCTAGGATCCCCTCTAACCCATATATGTAATTAGTTTTTATCGAAGAGCTTGCGTAGCTGATGACACTCTTTTGAATTTTATTAGATCTTCAGATAAAGTCTGAATCTTTGGCATAGATATTAATAATCTTGAAATTCACTCTGGCTTTCACTAATTCCTCACGAAATCGATATTGGCGTGAGGTGCCTGCTATGACTTCTTTTTTATCATTATTTTTCAGTCCTAAAATTATACTATAGTAGTAAATATCCCACCTATTACCAGTCTTAGCATAATATTCTGTCCTCTTTTCTATAGTAAACTTCTCCTTTCTTTTATCAGGTAGAAGAACCTCTATCTTCTTCTTGCTATACTTGCATTGGGTTAGGAGATCTTTAACACATTTACAGGCCTTCCAATCCTGTAGTGAAGCTTCAAGCTCTTTATTATGTTCACTCAGTTGTTCTAGGCTGAACTTAATAGATAAGTTATATTTTTCTAAGAACTGTTCTAGAATTGATTTAAAGTTATTTGTTTTGGCTCTCTTTCGGACCTTTGGGATTACTTTTATGGTATCTATGCTAATAATAAGTAGATTGTTGAAGAGTACTTATATAGTACTTATAGCGAAAAATTATAATAATTTAGAATTTTATATCGCCTAATTGTAAAGAACGAAAGTCCTATCCCTACTAATATTTATTAATCAGCTTATTCTCTCTTCACTAAAGCATACCATTCTTCTAGAGTATGCTTATATTTTTTTGCCACTCTTCATCATTGTAAACATACTCCCAGGGTTTTCCCACATCCTCGAACTCTTGAAGATATATTTCTTCGCTTATTAATCTTTCCCTTCTAGTCATGTAAAATAAATCGTTTGGGTTCAACTTATTTTTTTTAGCAAATTCAATAACTTCTGCGTCTGCCATCATCCTGTCTCGATATTTCCAGAACTGATCAACATCTTTT